TTGTGTCTTGCAATCTCTTAGGAAAAAATACGATGAACATGTATTTACCGCTCATGTATATAAATATATTTTAGTTCCTGTGGCATTTGGGTGGTGACAAGTGGGCGTGGCAGCTGTGTGTTCTGACAACTTCATACGCTTTGCTCTTCCTTTGCTATAGTTGTTATATTTGACATAAAAGTGGCTACAAAGAGCGCCACCAGGCTAGCATTTAAGACGAGGTAAAGTTACGGGAAAATATGCCTTCCCTCCTAAAATTAATGACAGCCATTATTGAACGGTGGGAACTTAATTAAGTTCAGAGAAATATTAGCTATAACGATTTCCAAAAAGTAATGCAGAAACATTATTTTTTGCGTGTACATTGAACAAATTAGTAAGGCTTAGAACAATATAAAAATAATAAAGGAAATTACTTTTATCTCTGCTTGAACTGCAAATAAACACCTCTTTAAAAAACCTTGTACCCAAATTATTGCCATTAGGGCATCCACTCTAACTTACAAATTCTTTTTTCAGTTTACCCATTTAGCTGCTGCACAAAGTATTTTGTTACCCCTTGCCCCACCGTTTCCCCCAATTTAGTTGCCTTTCTTGGCCATTTTATTCCCCTGCCAATCGCTTACTTAGTCTGTTTGTTCATGACTCTCCTTAGCTGGATTCCTGCACACACTGCCCCACTTGGTGAAGATATCAACTTGAAAATTGTTCGAAACACGCCCCCAAAACGCGACGCCCCCAAGAAAATAACTCCATGTTCTTCATGGCCTGACTCATAGGTTTGTATCTGTATCTTATAGATTGCCCAGCAGCATAGCCAGGAAAATTCATCTGTTACAATCACAGCAACAACGGAGAAAACAATTTGAGCCAAGAGTTGCCACACCCATTGAGTGCCTACCATTTTTCCCCGCACTCCCCCATTTCCCATGCTTTTGCTCCACTTTGTTTATCGCTCTTGCTGTATTTTGCTGTATTTTCTGCCCTGTTATTGTTTTTTCCTGCAAGTTTATTGGAACTTTAACCTGCAGCCTCGCCCCTTTACGTCCTCGCTGCCTGATTGATTACGTCGATCAGAAAATGCTAATTACTTTTTGACCCCCAAAGACTGATGAATATTTGGGAAAATGCAATTATATTTTTTTTTAATTTTTTCGCTAGCAAATAATTAGTTATTTTTTTTTGGTTTATCATTTTATTTCCTTCATTGCCGGAACTAATTTATAAAAGTTTTTAAAGTCAAAAATATAAATTTTTTTTTTATATTTGCTTGCAAATCTGAGAAAAAAAATTGCATTTTAATTAAATTTTTAGTTTTAACGGACTACACTACAAGCACGATAAATCAATTTTAGTTTTCTCGTTCGCACTTTTAGGAAACATGTTAAAGCTACACCCATGTACGTCTAACTCTTTGCAAAATTTTGTCAAAAAATAAAAATAAATAAATAAAGTGCTGGTTAAAAAGGTCACCAAGAGTGCTATTAAAAATGACCTGAAAATGTGAGAAAAGCCAGCAATCAAATTTGTATTAATTAAATTAAAATACGGACAAGAAAGCGGGTTTTTGAATGATCTATTTATTTACCTTCTGAATGTCGGCCATGTAAGTTTAACAGGTATTTTTATTCTCTTCAAAGTTGCGAAAACTTTACAAGAAGCAATTAAGAAAAAGTTGAAAGAAAACAAGGAAAAGCTACTTGGCTAGAAAAGTTGTGCATGGGTTAAAAGGGATGGGGTTCTCTGCTGACAGGTGGCTTTTAATGCCTTAACCCACCACAAAGTTTGTCTCGCGTTCACTCAAGCTTTTTAGTCAACCTAATTAGCAACTTGATGATTTTTTAACGCTTTATCGAGCACTGGAAATGATTTCATTAGCTATGGGAGAAGGGTTGGGAATTGGTTAAAGTTCAGTGCGAATTGCCTCATGATTATTAAATTACCACTTACTGCAGAGTAGATTTAGTTTTCGGGGAGTTGTCGTTGAAAACTTGTTGAGAAGTTGAGAATGTTAGTTGGTTTAACTTGGCCATAGGGCATAATTGAATATGGGCATTTCCAGGAAAAGCCCAACAACTCATTCGAACTAAATGTTAAGGAAAGAGAAATGGTTGCTAACAATATTACATTATACCAATCTTAATTGTACGACTGCTATAAATGTTAATGGTTTAAATAGAACTCATTGGGACGAGCAAACGATCTACTTACCTAGATACATTTAAAAATGGTGTGAAGTTTACCTTACTTAAATACTTCTTTTCGCAAATACCGTGTACCTTAACTAATTTAAGACAAACTAGTTCCCTCTGTTTTTATCTGGAAAAATTATTGGTAATTATACAAAATAATTATTACGTAAGGCAAGTTTTATATTTTAATTTAACTATTTAAGTGTATTCATCTGTTGCTTCTTTGTTTTTCACTAAGAGTCAAACAGGATACTAAAGAATGATTTTTTGAAATAAAAACTTGTGGACTTAAAAAATCGTTAGAATATTACTATTGTCAAATAGCTGAAGAGTAAATAAACTTTGGTTTTCCGAAGTTTGCTTCTATTCTTGTTTATGTAAAGTTTCATTAAGATAATTAATTGGTGTGTTTGGAACGCCATGTCTGGGAAACGAATGCAATGCAATCAATATTTACTTTAAACTTTTACGTGAGCTTCAATATGTTTCAATTTCCAACATTAATTTGATTGAGGAACTTAATTACTATATTCATCTACACTACATTTGAAAGCACAATAATATTTTTAAGATTGAATTAGTTTTAAATTGATACATTATAAAGGTTTTCGAATAATATTTTGGTCATATCCAATTTTTTCGGACAATTAAAAACATTTAAAATATTTTAAGACTAGCTTTTCTTGGTTGCTAGATTTTTGTTGACTTATTATTTTCACTTTCTCGTTCCAATCCATAAATAGTGTTTTTGACACACTGCAATGGTTCATACCAAATGAAAACTCAACCCAAGCGTAAAATTAGACACACAATATCGGATTTTATGAGCGAAGCACACAACAATCTTTATCACCTACCGAAACTCACCCCAAAAAACACAATAACAATCTTTGAAATCTTCAAACGAAAGAAAAACGAAACTTGTTTGTCTTGGAGCTAACAAAAATTAAACAACTAAGTCTATGGCAAATAGAGGAGGGGAAGTATTTAATGTCAAAAACAGAAAGAATGTAATTTAACAGCAAACTCCAAAAGAAGTTTAACTAACTAATTCACTGCGCTATCTATCACCTATAATTCGGTATAATCAGCTATCTTAACATTTATTATTTATAGGGAAACTTACAAATCTTTTATTGGTCGCCTGACAAATCCTGTTTCCACGCCCAGCTAAAAAATCAATTTTCCACAAAGAAAAATAGGTAGAGACTATATATTGTTCTTTAAGTCTTCATTTCGATACCTCAACCCTCTTTTCTCGTCTTTTATCATCGATCAGTCGTGGGGTGTGCAAGTCTTTTATGATCATGCTAAGAAGTTTGCTTCCTTTAAATTTTGGTGACTCACGGATGGAAACCTTTCTCGTTTTTATACACATTTCGTTTAACGGCAATTAGTTGGAAAAGGCGTTCTTGATTGCTACTTGCCGATGTTCAAGGACATTAAAGGCTGAATTCCTGGAAATCACACATTTTGTGGTTCGGAAAAACAAACAGACGATGGCGGTGGAAATAAAACTTCATCTCGTTATTATTATTATGTAAATTCTGTGCAACTGCCCACACGATGAGCAGCCAACGCGCCACAATCTTGAGATTTAGAGAACTTGAAAAGAAGTTCTCAGGCGACTGAAGAAAAGTTACCGGGCATGGGCGTAAAGCTGAAGCTATTGATGCGGTTTCAAATGGAGATGGTTGCTACACTGCCAAGTTTAATATTCACCCGGTATCAAATATTTGAATTCATAAAAAATTATTAACTTGAGTATGCATATTAAGAAAAATAAATAATATTTAATAAATATTTACGATTTTCCAAACAAAATTTTTATTGGATTGAAATTAATATTGAATCGAAATGATATTGAATTTTGTGGTTAAACTAATCTGGCCGTGCTCAGAAGAGATACTTTTCGGATCGAAATGAGCTTGCTTTTTGTGATTGAAATGCTCTGGGTTGTGCTCCAATGTAAAACTTTGTAGATCGAAGTAACTTCGTTTTAATCTTGGCCGTGCTTAAATGTAGTACGTATGGCTTTAGATTGAATTCGCTTGAGTATAGGGCTTTCCTTTGTCTCGATCGTACTTAAATATATCCCACTCTGCCAGCTTCAATCTTTTTTGGACTACAAAAATATAGGATCGTTTAAATTGTTTTCGTATCAATTTAAGAATAATCGAGACAACCTTGTTTTCTATACACTTTGTGATCGAGTTGATCCCCTTTGGATTACATTTTCTTTAAAGTGTACGTTTTTTAAAAATGTCATCTTAATTGATAAGTAACCCAAATATAGCTTAGTATTGTCTCGTCTTTATACTTGGTACCTTTATTTTTCTAAGTGTACAAGTTTCAGAAGTTTTTGCCTGTAAACATTGTGTGGGAGACTGCAGACATTTTTTTTATGAGGCTACATGCACAATGTCCAAATGAAATAAGATTCTGCACCTTAGACAGGTTAAGTTAACGAACTTCCAGTCTGATAAGTTACACTGTAAGGCTTGGTCGCATTGCCCATTTCCCGTCGAAGCTAATGTTGCGGGCCTCATGTTGCACGTTAGGCGACGCTCTCTTGTGGATCGCAACATGTGTGGCCAATGTAACGTGTTGCTCTCAACATTTCCGCCGGCGCATCTGCCGCTGTAATCTTTAGCAGAGCCTCTCTCCGCGCTCTCTGGCTCTCTCAGCATCGTTTTCCCAACAGAAATGTAAGGAAAACGATGGTGTTTAACAGAACTGTAGGGAAGCTGATGATTTCTGTAGGTCTTAACATTTTCTGTTTCTGGTTGTCTGTGTTTTTCCCGTTTTCCGTTCAAATTCAAAAAATTCGCTTCGTCGTTCGGACGTTTTGCTCCGGCTCGAACAAATTGCCTTTTGCTGCCGAGAACAGCTGGACTTCGCTGATACAAGATACAAAGATACTGAAGTTAAACTGACAAGTTATCTTGCATATTCATCGTGTGTCGTACGGGAAATAAAATCAAAAAACATCGTTTTGCCGATCCCCTATAAATTAAAGGGAGTTTCGTTTAGTGTCGCGTTTAAAGTGATAAGCAGTTGAAAGCGAAAAACAACTGTGGAGAATTGCCGGGAATCGTTAACATTTTGGCAATAAAACGCAGTGGTTCTACCATCTATTGGTCTCAAAACAAACAAATCATTTCACAAACAGGCCCACAATCGCATATATACGCATATATCTATATTCATGGGATATGTACTCGGATGTTCGTGAGTGAGAATTGGTGGGTGTGTTGTTTTTGCCTACGGCATCGCGTGAAAAGTCGCGCGCGAATTGTGCGGTAGATTTATGTCCGCGGTAATTGGTTGAAGCTTAAAATCTAATAGCCATTAATCAAACTTGGTGAACAAATTGCCAAAAAGCAAGAAAGAAAAAAGAAACATATAAACAAATATTTTGAAATGAAAAGTGGTAGAAGCTATCAAGTGGTCAACTAATAAAATTAAATAATATGGTAATAAACTTTACACTGTTAAACAAATAATGTCAAGCATTAGGTGAAAATTTATGTCGACAGATTAAAAGACAAAACATCGCACTAACATGTTAAAACAAAACAAAAGGAAAAAAATAAATATAAGTCAAAGTTTTAAATATTAAAGACTAAAAAAGAAATTGAGATTTTCAAAACAAAAAGTTGATGACATCAAACTTCTTAAAACAATAACGATTTATTACTTCACGTAAAGTTTGTTCTTTTTATTAAAGGCAACACAAAGTGAAACATTTTAACGAGAGCACTTACAGTTTCATAAACAAAAAAAGCGATCAAAAATCAGATATAAACAAGTAAAATTCCTTTTCAATAATATTAAGACAAGGTATTTTAATTGTCAACAAGTGTCAAAACATAAAACGGAATAAGTAATTGCCAATCGTCCGACAAAGGAAAATGCTTCAACACAAACAAACGACAAAGAAAAGTGCACAATAAACGCGTGTGAAAAAAGCAATACAAAGAGAAGAGTATTTCCAGTAATCCGTCTACAAAAACAATGATTTCCGTAATAGCCAGTATGTCTTGGCTAATTCTGCTGCTAATGCCTCTCACTGGGGCCCACATCAGTGACTTGGGGGGAGCAGCTATGATGACCACAGTTGCTCCCACTTCGAGCCACCGAAATGCCCACCAGCAGCAGAGGTTGCAGCAGTTGCAGGAGGCGCAGCAACTGGAGTTCCATCAGCAACACCACCACCATTTGCGGCACGAGCAGCACTTGCGGGCCGAGCTGGAGGGGAACCACCACCCGCCAGTCGCGGACTTCGAAATGAGTGCATCCCAGTTGGCCTTCGACCCACAATTACCCATGCAGCAGCACCACTTGCGCCACCACAACCGTCACCATGTGAGCTGGGAACAAAGGGTCTTTCCCTCGCTGCGACATCAGCCACATCGCTTGGCCATAGGAACCAGCACAGCCAGAAGTATTGTCACCTCCGAGGCACCCACAACCACCCACCACGGCCTGTCCAGCAATCACACGCGCTATTTCGACCGGGATGGCATCTTTCCTTCCTGGGCCGAACCTCGATCCACCAGAGGTCCCAATTGGCGGCAGGAAGTGGATTCCAGTGGCTCCGAGGAGGAAAGCGACGAGGACGACGACGAGGACTACGAGTACGAAGATGACTCCGCTTCCAATGGCGTCGATGAAGAGCTAGCCCGACAAATGCCCAGATACTCGTTGTTCACCAAAAAACTACCCCACATTGACCTGAAAAAAGAACAGGATTACACCGCCTACGATCAGTCGGATGAACTGGGCATTGTCTCGAATAGCAACCATAACAATAACCATAACAACAACAATAACAGGCATCCCAGTGTGGCCAATCCCCACGACAAGTCATCCGGCAAACGCAATATATTTGACTGGTTGTTCAAGCAAGATGTGGAAAAGGCGGTAGTTAAAGTACCACACACCACAACTCCAACTACAACTACGACAACCACCACAACCTCGACCACAACTCCGAAGCCTGTGACACGCACCGAAAGGCCAAAACTCCAGCTAATAGACGCCAATCTTAAAAGCAACGGCGGCGAAGAGGACTACTCAAACGAGGATTCGGATTCGGATTCCGAGTCGGAGGAGGGCTTCTCCAACGAACAGTGGAACAAAATCGAGCACGAGCATCACCTCAAGCAGCAGAAACACCAGAAGGAGCTATTGGCGCTGCGCGAGAAGAGCCGGAATACCAATACTCCGCTCATAAGAAACTTTGAGAATGAGGTGAGTCTGGCTGGCATTGCGCCCATTGTTCTGAATTCGCTGATAACACTGTGGCATCCCGCTGATTCCGATTCCGATTCCATGATGTCATCAGCCGTTGTTGTTGCTCTGACATTGCTCCATTATGTGAGGGGCTGCGGCACGCCCCTGATAAGAGATTCTGTTTATAAATAGCTAGAAACAGTGTCTGTGGCCACAAATGACCAACAGAATTTCCGTGCCTGTCTGTATTCTGTATTCTGTACTCTGGGTTTTGGTTTCGGTTTCACGTTTGATTTTCATTTGATGTTGGTGGTTAGTCACGCCAAAAATCCGTCAGTAAAGAGTGGATGCTAAAGTGCACTGAAGAAAATATGGAGATCTTATATGTAGATGTCATCTTTAAACAAGAAAGGAAGCAAACTTCGGCAAGCCGAAGTTCTTATACCCTTGCAGCTTTTGCAAAAATTAAATATTCTTGAAAACATTAAAATTATGATTGATTTGCGTGTATTTTTACATTAAAGCTATGATGATTTGCAGCTCAATTATTTGATATAATTGATTATAAAACCGTAATTCTGAAGTGTCAAATTATTAATTAATCAAAAATAATTTTAAAAAATATTACAAAATAAAAAATGGAAATTTTGCTGTTTTTTGGCAGCTCTGGTAATACAAATTTTATTAGTTCCTATTAGAACAGACTTAATTTTGAAAAAAAAGATTGGGAGTACCCAAACATTAATAATTTAATATAAGACTGACGTTCTCGAAAGAGCCATTCCCCATCATTAAACACTAGCAATATAAAACTGCTATTTTCGAAAGAGCCTTTCTTAATCATTATTAAATATTTGCAAGACATTTGTGAAATTGAAAGCTTGTTATTGGTTATACCCCCAGTTAGCCTAGGAGTCACATTTCCATGATAAGATCGTTATAACTATGCAATAGAAAATTCTTGCAGTGCATTGGCATTATTCACTGACCATGGCTAATGCCGTTTGCATTTTGGCTTACAACAAAATCAGACATGTTGCTTTACTCTGTGTTTTGGTGCTCATGTCAAATATTTACACAATGCGGAACAGGCCAGGGGGAATGTGCTGAAGGGGGTTAGGATAGCAGCTGTCTTTCGCGAACTTGGCAATTTTGGCTGACCATTCGCATTCACTAACAGAAATCAACAACATGCAACAATATTTGTAGCCAAACATACACAGATAAAAAAAATGATTAGCAAAAATAAATATCAGACTATTGCATTTAAAATTTTGTATAAATTACACATTATTAACTATAGCATAATTGAATATTTTCATAATTAAATTATTGTTATTATTGATTTAAATGCATTTTGTATAATTTATGTATGGTTTAAATTTAAATTAAATTTACCGAAAATAATCAGATACCAAATTTAAAAAGAAACGTAATATTTTCATCTTTAAAAACCTAAAATATAAAACCGGTTTACCGGCGGATTGTTGAAGATAATAGCTTATTAGATTTGTGAATGTTCCATCTTCAAGACAAAGTGATAAAATCTGTAAGCCAGTGTAATTTGTTGCATTTGATTTGCAATTTTTGAATGCCATTCCATTCTGTTTGCTTTGATTTGTTTGTTGACAAAAGGTTCTACATTTTTTCGCTCTCTAAATGACAATTTCTCTTTGAACCACTGACCCGAGGGCTCTGGATTTTCCACCCACCCCTGCTGTGACCTCTGCTGGTGTAATTAACTTAAAAAAAGAGATCCAATTAAATTAGTATTAAAGCAAATAATGTGCGTCTGTACCGGCGGGTAAATAAAAACACCCGGAGGAGTCTGCTTTAGTTTGTTATTTCTGCTCTTTATTTATTTTCGTTGGACCGTCATTTTGGCTTTACTGCAGGTAAATTAAGTTTAGTTGTCATTGAGATGAGCATTCACGCTTATGTCCTTGGGCCATCGATGTCGTTAAATTGAACTGAAAGGGGACAGATATTTAAATTAGCCAGGCAGCAGTTAGTGAAGTGGATATGAAAAGAAACTACGTGAGTTCCGAGAATCAACTTGCTTTTCATTCATTCCAAGTTGTTTTGATAGGGAATTAGTTAACAAGAACAATTTAAACTTTTACACAAATTTACTCATCACTTAGCGCCAAAGCTTATGTGACAAACGTCCTCCAGCACGTAAAACGTGCAACATTATTTTATTGTAGCTATGATGTTTTGTTTTTTCCTCACCAAAAATAAATGATATAGCAACGAGCAAAAAAAAAACATTGATACAAAATTATATGCATAACGAATTATTTTCCTGTCTAGTCCAGCTTATATTTTTTCCGTCAGAATTTTTATTTTCAAATATTTTTGCAAATAATTCCATGTTTAATATTTGCCAACTCAGTCGTAATTAATACGCATTAAAAAAGTAATTTAAAACATAATCAAAAATTTAAATATGAATGAAGTGGGCAGCAAGCAATGACAATTGTTTGTGAAAACGGTTTGTAAATGCGAAATGCACTCGAAATATTGTTAACAGCTAAACAAGCACACTGCTAAAACAACGCGCTTAATAAGAGCAACAATAATTACCAAACCCAACAACAATGTGCAGCTGCGTGTAAAACAACACGAAACACAAAAGTGAAACAATAAAACTGGAGGTTTTTCAAGTGGAAATAGGGAGGGGAATTTGGGAGGTTGATGGTGGGGCGACAGGTGAATTGGCGCTGAGCCATTAAAATAACAAGACGCCCCCTCATTTTCCGCACCCCACATTTCCCACAGAACAATGCAATTAACACATGTCTGCGGATGACGACGGCTACTCCACAGCTTGTATTCTCCTCTTCCTTTTACCTTTCCCTCATCCGGAAGTACTGCATCCCTCCTCCCCTCCTTATAAAATGCTAAAAATAATTTTCTGCCACACTCTAAAGTAAACCCTGAACATCCCAACCGTTCTGAAATCCAATTTACTGACTTACCTTCAATTTAATTGGCATCGTTTCTACCTTATTATTGTCTTCATTTTGGCTTTGAAGTTTCTATTTTTTTTGGTCTGTCTTTTTAGCATTGAGCTTTTTACTAAAATCATTTTGAACGATTTTTAATTAAAATTTCAGGCTACTTGAGAAGTAAATGAAATGGTATCAATGTTCATCACTTAAAAAACAATAGTGCTTGAGTTTTCTAAACTGAAACTGATGCACTCACTTTTAACCAGAATACAGAAAACAAGGAAATCGTGTTATTATCGAAAAAAGATTCCATACTTCTAATTGTTGGACTTTTGGATGCAACAACCAACTGTTACTTTTGCTGTGAGAGCAGCACATTTATTTATTTTTAGAATCCGCCAATGCGTACATCACAAAGACAAAAAAAAAGTGATTAATAAATGTTTTTCATCGGAAAATATCTAAAACTGCAAGGGCATTCAGTCTTCGGCTGAATTCAGCTTTTGTAAAAACTATTAATAAACTTTCATAAAACATTACTTATTAGATTAGAACCGAATCCCATTTTGATTCCGGTTTTCTACTCTCGGTTTGTACTTTACGCATTTCGAATTTGTTAACCAAATTTAGTTTAGTTTTTGCGATTTGCAATGATTTTACTTTTTTGGTGTGTTCTGAAAAATACCTTGAAAGATTTTGCTTTCGTTTTCTTTCATGAGGTCTTTCTCCCGAACTTTTTAAGGGTCCAATGCTCACCCCTCGTTTGCTCGGCATCCTTCCCATTTCCATTTCTATTCAGCCTTTCCATCTGCGTTTTCGGCACAGGGATGAGCTTCCTATACTGCCAGCTGCCTTGTTTTTCTTGGTGCTACTAGTTAGCAGTTTTCTGCACATAAAAGATCTTCAGAGAAGTAAAGAAGACTCCACAGTCGGCTTAGCCTTTGTGGGGCGAAATGTCAGAAGCGATTATGGAATGACAACCAAAACCACACACGCACAGAGAGAGTTCATCGCTTACCACCCGCCGATGTGGCTGAAGGTTGTCGCTGCGGTTGCAACGACCTTGAAGCTCGAAAGCAGCGGGAGCAATCGTGGCTCATAAAAGTGGTAACAATGATGAAGGCTCGTTGATGAAATGCGGGGAGCGCTTTTGAAAACTATTTACCGAAGGCAGTCGTAGAATTTATTTGTGGCTGAAGTTCAAACTTGATACAAAACATAGGTTCAATAAAAATAAGACAAAAGTTCACAAACAAAACTGGGAAACATAAATGTTAAAAGTAAAAAGGTTGAAATCATACTTTCAAGGAGAAAATAAACATTTTTATAAAACTTTCAAATCATTCATCTTAACGTCGAGATAGATAACTTATATTATTGCATATTGTATAAATATATATCGACAGCATCAGGCTCAAATAAACAATATTGAAAATGAAATTCTATAATATATTTATATTATAGCAACGTAATATTGTAAGTAATAAGTCATTGAATCTCCAATAAAAAAGAGCTTGCCTTTACCAGTTAAAAACTGAAAAACTAAACACCCGTTCAACATTTTGCGCTCTTGTATTGTTCATTTTTTATTTATTATTTTACGACTAGCTTATCTTAAACTTAAATGCTTGCTGCTTAAAGAATTTTCTTCATTTTTCCAGTATTTATCTCAGAAGAATCAGGGGTTTTCACATTTTGTTTTTTTATTCTCCTGGCTGTTCCTGTTGATGACACTTTTCAGCTAATTTCCACTCACATTTCATACATTTTCCTTTTTGGCCTGTTATTGGCATTGCAATTTATTTCCACCTCTCTCCTGTTTTGAGATGTTTTATATTTTTCCTCTTTTGCTGCTGCTGTTTTTGCTCATGCCAGGGGCATTCATTAGTTGCTTTCAACTGCCGAGGAACTGTGAGTATATCATTTGTAAGGAATTTTTCGCCTTTCCCATAGAAAATACTTGCCTTCCCCACTCTCGGTCATTGAAGTCTCATTTATTCGCCGCTGCCTTCTTTGGACATTTTCCATTGCACAACTTGTGCTTATTGTCTCCAGATTGCTTCG